AACCCATGTAGAAAAATGTTGTAAGGGCACAATTACAGAGTGACAGATGGAGTAGAAGATGCTGGATTGGAAAGGAAAGGCCTTCCGGAGGAATTGGCAGTGGAGCTGAAAGATGAATGAACTAGGAAAGTGAGCCATTGAGAAATCTGGGGAAGACTGTTCTAGACAGTGAGAAGAGAAAGCACAAAGGCCTGAGGCAGGAGTGGGCTTGGCTTGTTCGCAGAAAACATGAAGGTCAGTGGACATGGCTAGAGCAATATGCATAAGGAGGAGAGTGGGGTGGGATGAGCAATAAGGTAAGCAGTGCCTCACACGTGCCATTGTAACACAAGGTGCTTGGACTTCATTCTGAGTATCATAGAGACCATTAGTCAGTCTTGAGCAAGGGGGAGAAATTACCGAATTCACAGTTTAAAATATCGCTATAGCCAATGTTTAGGAAATTATCAGAGCCACAGAAACCCGTCCAATGTATGTTACAGTCCTGGCAAGAGAAGATGGTGGCTTAGCTGGTGTATTCACAGAATAGATGTTGACACATGGTCAGATTCTCTGTGTACCTGTTTGTATTATGCAGTTAGAGACCACTGGAGTAGCTAACAGATGAGGAAGGTGGAAGATAAAGAGGAGTCACCGATTTCTACAAGGTTTTGGGCCCAAGTAGGAAATGCTGACAGTCAGGACTGAGATGGGGAAGACAGGTTGCATGAAGACTTAGGAGTTCTTCTTTCAATATGCTGAACTTGAGCGTCAGTCAAAGCGAAAAGCTAATAGGTGGAGCAAGCCTGAGCTCAGGGGGAGATGGGAGTAGAGATCCAAAGGACACAGGCATGGGCGTGTAGGTGGAATGCAAGTTCATGACTCTAAATGAGATCACCCAGGGAGGAGAGTACACACAAATAGAGAAGAGAAAGATACGTGGATTCATGTGGCTCCGTGCCCGGCAGAAAACTTGCTCAAGCCTGTTGCTCTATGACAAAGGGTGTGGTTTTTTAACTGCCTGCAAGTCACAAACAGCAGTGATCTGACAATGGGGCCATGATTGTAGAATATAATACATACGTTATTATAAACAAATTGGAGTATGAATGTTACCGGTGATTGTCATACAGCCTCCTTGAACGGGCAATTATTTTCCTTTTTGTTGCAATAAAAATTTGTGTGACCATATTAAGGCTCCACTGTACAAGATTCATTTTTAGCAGTGAGCTTCAGTTTATCCTGAGAGGCAGGCAGGTTCACTTATAAAAACTGGTGGTACAGTTGGGAAGAAAAACTGCCCTTTTGAGTAAGTGCTGTATAAAGGCAATTAAAGCAGAAAGATGTGTTTATGGGCTTTCACCCTTCAAAATGGCTATAGATCAAATTTATTAAAAATGTAATTTGAAAGAGAAGCTGGCAATACAGTAATAAAAATAAAAATGAAACTAATTTATCTTCAAAATGTGTCGTGCTTTTAGCCCTAACCAGCCTAAAAACTTCATTACCCAGCTGCAAGTAAGAATTGGAAAACTCTGTTTCAATTCCAAAGCATTTTAAACTACAATGTGGCTGGTGTTTATACGGTCACATGATAGGTTATTCTAATAGTTTAGGACAGAAAATATAATTTGTATATTTCAGAAACTTAGTAGGAATAATATTTAGGGTCTACTTTTAAAAAACCAATACAGCAAAGATAGAATTTGAAGATGTAAACAAATATACTATTAAAACACATGTATCCAAGAGGTTAAAAAAGGCAGTAATTTTTTGTATGTTTGAGTCAACACTTTCTTCTGTTTTGCGAAGACACTTGCTCTTTTTTAAACTGTTTTTAAAAGAAAATAAGGGAATATGTTTTAGGTTTTGCAGGACACTATGAGATGCTGTGAAAATTCAAATGATAGTGTTTAATATTTTCCAACAAAATTACATTCTAGAGGAATTCATCTTACTGTAAGAAGAAATGTATAACCCATTTTTTTTTCAAGAATAATATTCCAATGGATTGTTTTGTATAACAGAAAGTATTTCTGACAACATTCAGACTACTTCAAAATCCTATAATGAAATGAATTGAAAGGATCCAACTTTGAATACAGTCGTTTACCAGTAAGGAAAGGACAGCTTACAGACATAGGTCAGTTTCATTGTATTCAAATAAAGAACGTTCTGCAGTGTTTGTGGGTAGAGAGGAAGAGTAGTGAGTGGAGGGAAAGGGTGATGAAATAAACACAATGCATAGTCCCCCCAGTGAGATTAGTTGAACTAACTGTGTAGACAGGAAGGACAATTCTGATTTTACATGGAGGCTCTGCCCATGCTGCCTTCTCAGGATGAGCACTGTTCAGAAATGTAAATCCCCACGTTTCCTTTCTTGCCTCTTCCCCACATTCCTGTAAGATTACACTTCACTGTCAGAGCGAAAGAGTGGATCTTCATCCTCAATTCATTCAACATGAAAAGATTATTATTAATAGCACGCTAAGCAAATAATGATTTCAAAGAGTCCTTGTTATTATAGAAGCCTGCCTACAAGGTGATTTCAGAATAAGAAATGGGAAGTGTTTATTTTAGCAGAAATTTAATGTGCACTTGCCTTTCAAACTCTATAACATTATTGTAGTTAAAATAATTGAATGATGGTTAAATGTCTCCACTGATTGGATAACCTTGATATTAGCCTGAATTACCTAGTAAAAAAATTACTTTTAAAATCTAAGTAAGTTTTATTATTAATTGTAATTGGAAAGCACCATTCGAAGTATTAATATATACAGGTCTTCAGTGATATTAATTTAGAAAAAAATAATAAAAGTTTTGCCTCTTCACAATTTACAGTCCAAACTACATGTGAATTAAATACTGTATTTTTATTTTGTACAGACCCACCGATACACATACACACACAAACTCACACATATACATTCTCTGTGGTTTTCCTAGTTCAAGAAAGTCATTATAATCATGCAACAAACAATAGTGGTTCTCCATTTGCTATGCTTACATTAAAATTAGAGGAGGGGCATTTTAAAATCAACAAATACCACCCAAGTCACTATTCAGCTTCATATTTTTAGCTATAAAACTAGAAAATAAAATCAGAAGGTTTTATGAGATAGAATGATTTTCTATCTCTGGGCAAAGGAAAGGAATAACTGATTTGCTTTGTGAATATATTTCACCAATGTCTATATAGAATGTGACAGTTACCGACTGCACAAACTGTATCCTTTTAGAAATGTAGTAAATTTAAAGCTTTTTATGAGTCTGTGGGAGCCGAAGACATGGTAGTTGGAAAAATAAAACGTTGAAAAGGAGTTTATTTTCACTTAAGTGTCTGCCTAATAGTGCAAACTTCATCTTTGCCTGGAGGTGGTTCATCTATGTTAATGAAGACAGGCCAATAATGTGTTCTTATGAAATGGGATGGATCTTCTGTCTTAATTTGTGTGCTATTTTCACATGAAGAATAAATGAGGACAAGATATTGATTGCTATAAATTTTGTACTTCATTTTAGTACAAATATGTCCAAACACATTTGAGATTAAATGGCAATTATGTTTCTTAATTGAATGTCCTTTTCTCCTTATCTTTGATAGATATTATAGAAAAAGGTGCAGATAGATCATAGATAATGTAGATAATCTATGCGTCATAGATGTAGATATAGCCGGATCATAGGTAGATAATGCATATATGTAGATAAATAGATCGTAAATCTACCCACCTATCTATAACAATATATAAGAAAGAAAAAGAAAAAGAGCAAGACCAAGGTCAGCAAATTTCTCTGTAAAGTCCCAGATAATTAATATTTAAGGCTTCACTGGCCATATGGTCTCCATCATAACTACTCAAGTTTTTTTGTGTAGTAGCACAAAAGTCTTAAATAATATGTAAATGAATCAGTGCAGCTGTATCCAAATAAAATGTTATTTATGGACACTGAAAATTAATTCCGTATAATTTTTATGTATCATAAAATATTATTTTTTTCAAATAATTAAAAAATATAAAAACTATTCTTCCCTTGAATTCCATACAGAAAGAGGCCTCAGGGCAGATTCGGCATGGGCTATAATTTGCAACGTTTAATATATGTAATAGTCAATTGTTATTTTTAATCTCAAAGAATCCCATGACTCTTTGTAAAGCTGTCATTTCATTCTGATTTACAAATCTCTCCAGAGTCAATATGAACTCTACACAAGAAAGTGAAAGTTAGTTTTGAAGCAGACTTTTTAAAAGAAAATACAATCTTATTGCACAAAATGGAACACTGCCAAAACAGAAAAACTCACACCTCTACTTTAAAAGAAAGTGCAAAGCAAAACTACATCTCAGCTAAATGTTTCATTATAGGATAAGTTAAGAAGTATAATTAGTCAAAATAAGATCCCAGTATGTTCACAGTATTGCAGGCACAAGTACAATATTAATTTTCACATTATATTTTATATGCAAACAAATTTAGTTTGTCAAAAAAAAGTGTTGCTTTCCTTACAAAAGCTGTGTTTGATAATAAATAAGAATTCTACTGAAAAATTGAAGCTTTCCATAGGTGACAAATTTCAGAAATATGAATAAAAGAAAAATGTAACATTCTCTTAAATAGATAATTTTACAGATGAAACTTCTTAAATTAATGCTGACAAATTTGAATGCCCCATTATATCAACTTATGCAAAAGAATGAATGGATTAATAAACAAATGGATTTTTTTTTTTTGGAAGATTTCATTTACCATTTAGGTCACTGATAGAGCATAGTCAATGGAAATAGTTCTCTCTTCCATTCAATTACAATTCCTATTCAGTTGAATTTGTCACGTGGTTCTTTCAAGAGAGTGCTATCAATATTGCTTCCTATCCAGTCTTGATATTCAAAATATTACTAATCTTTGTTTGTTTTTGATGAAGTGGTTCAGGCATTTCTGTTAAAGACTTAGACTTGAGAACTGAACACTAGAGCCTACATTTAAAGTGTTTCTCTCATTTCTTTCTTTGTTACTAGGAATTAAGACTGTTTCAATGAAATATACAGCCCCTTTCTGGAATCTACTTGTTCTGCTACCACTATGGATATACCGACCTTTCTGTGCCTTTCAGGGACAAGGGTAGAAGAAGAGTTTCAGACTCCCCCCAAAACAAAACAAAAACTGAACAATAAACAACCACCAAAAAAAAAAAAAAAACCAGGAAAAAAGGTGGAGGTACTCTTTCACCCTTGCCTGCTTTCTCCTGCTACCAAAACAAACAACAGAAACTACTTTTTCTCATTGGATCATGTAGCTAAAATTCTGCAGCAAATTTGTAAAAGAAAAGAAGTGGAAATCTACTTAAGAGCTCCTGTAAACCCTTTTGTACAAAACAACCACTTTGGTTCCCATTAAAAAGTGTTATCTGTTTCTTTGACCCTGTAAGCTAAATATTAATCCATCTTTAAAAGAGAAGAAAGTGAAGATCATAGATGACAGATCTTGCTTTCACCTAAGTATCTTTGAATCTTTACATTTGCCATCACAAGTTCTCAGATCAATTAACTATTGTTTATTTCCGAAGAAACCCGGCATGGTTTATGAAGACGTATATATAGCAACATAAATAGGAATGAGATAAGACAGCAAGACTAAGGGAAGCTGAAATTGTGTAATTATTGAAGGTAGTAAGCATCTAACAGTCATTTTGTCTGTAATAGGTTACATTTAAATTTGCCAATGAAACCAGCCTCTTCATGGGGATTTTCTGCTTGTACTATTGAGCCAAGACCCCTGCCTTTATACTTATTTTCACAGAAATTCTTTACTAATGAATTGCCTCACTTGCTCTGTAATATTCATAACCATCTTCAACACCACCTCCAGACGGACTGCAGTTTGACATAAAAAATGGCCTCAGAAAAGGTTCTGGCCAGGAAATTTGATTCCAGCATGGCAGAAATGTAAAGAGTCTGTTGTGATATAAGTGCTGTTTATCAGGCTCCTATAAATCTCCTTAGCACAGTCAGCAGAGTCCAAGATGCAAACTTCCTAGCAACTCTGCAGGTAAATTCAGAGAAAGCAATCACAACTTGGCCTGGGGAGTAGATTCATGCTCTCCAGAGTAAGAGTCACATGGTGTGAATTTGCAAGAAGAGTCATAATGATAATGACTCATTCCACACATATGCATGAAACACTTATTAGATATTCATCAACATGAATTACAAGACCTTGCAATAATTACATTGCCATTGATGAATTTGTTGTTGTTGTTGTTTTGTTTTGTTTTTTGAGCTGGAGTTTTGCTCTTGTTGCCCAGGTTGGAGTGCAGTGGCGCAATCTTGGCTCACTATAGCCTCCACCTCCCAGGTTCAAGCAATTCTTCCACCTCAGCCTCCCAAGTGGCTGGGATTACAGGTGCCCATCACCACACCTAGCTAATCTTTTGTATTTTTAGTAGAGATGGGGTTTCATCATGTTGGTCAGGCTGATCTCAAACTCCTGACCTCAGGTGATCCACCTGCCTCAGTCTCCCAAAGTACATGGATTACAGGTGTGAGCCACGAAGCCCAGCCATAAATTTTTAAGACTGTTGTATGAATGCCTGTGAGATATTGCCCAAGAATAAGGTGCTTTCCAGAGTCTTTGTCTAATGGTTTGTGATTAACACTCCTGAATCATCTGTGAATTGCTTAAGAGGCCATCATGATGGCCTTGCTATTGATATTGCGGGAAGTCCTGCTGCATGTTTATTCTCCACAGAGGGTATTTCACCATTATCACAGTAGAAATTAGTATCTAAGAAACTCAAGCCATTCCTGACTGACTGAATGCTTGCAGCAGATGGAGCTGAAACTGTAAAGGGCCATATGCCCTTGGGCCTTACCATGTCAGTGCCTGCAGGGCTACTTTTCAGCTTGCAGTGTCTGTTTCTCTTTGCCTGAGGCCCTTCTCTAGTCTTAACATTTGACTCTGCGTGTTACAGCACTAGGGGAAAAAGAGTCTCCAGGAGCAGCCCTCAGCCGATAACTGACTGGGAGCCTGGGAGTCGGTGTAAAATGCCCCAGTTGCCTCGCCCTTGAGGTGGGATGTTGCAGATCCACTTATGATGCTTTGGCTCCTGGAGAACCCATCTGGATGGAGCGGCAATCTCTCATTGCAGACTTGCTTGGAAACAGGTGTTTTCTTGATTTTCTGAGGCCTTCCCCTCCTCCCCTTTCTACTTCATTATCAGCATTTCCAGGAACCACCAGCTTGAACTTGAATCCTCATCTCTGGATCTGCCTTGCTCCACAATGAACCCACTAACCAGATTTCTTAAAATATCTTCTGAGAGCAAGAGTGGGTGGCATTCCTCTTTTATATACTAATAATACCTTAAAAAAAAATGCTTGAAGGCTAGCGCGATGGCTCATGCCTGTAATCCCAGCACTTTGGGAGGCTGAGGCGGGCAGATCACCTGAGGGCAGGAGATCAAGACCAGCCTGGCCAACATGATGAAACCCCATCTCTACTAAGAATACAAAAAATTAGCTGGACGTAGTAGCAGGTGCCTGTAATCCCAGCTACTTGTAATTAGCTGGGCACAGTGGTGGGCACCTGAAATGCCAGATACTTGGGAGCCTGAGGCAGGAGAATCACTTGAACCCAGGAGGTGGAGGTTGTGGTGAGCCGAGATCATCATACTCCAGCCTGGGCAACAGAGCAAAACTCCATCAAAAAAAAAAAATGCTTGAAATTAATTTTTTCTCTAAGAAGATAAAAGAAACGCTTGCATATCTAACCAGTTTCTTTAAATCAGATATGCACCCACCTAGAATAATGATAAAAACTGAGAAATTGGGAAAGCTATAGTGAGTTCCGATAAAGCATTTACGAAGTGTCCAAATTCAGTCAGACATCTTGCTGTTAACGAATACTTTATTATTCTTTATAGAAAAAGGTCTTCATCAATATTTATGTGGCCTCAATCTTCCACCAGATATTTATGAAGTCTATTTGATGAAGTAAATTAGCATGGTATCAGGACGATGATTTAAACTCTGACCCCTTCTTCATCTTAATGCTACACTTTGAAATAATTTTCTGTACCTCAAATGAGAATTTCAATACCTACCACCCCTCAAAATGGCTTATGTTAAAAGAAATGCGGGTTTTATAAAAAATATATGGCACTCACTAAATGCCTAAATTATTCTGATGCATGGATCATCAAATAATTATCGTTGCTCCAGCAGCACTGAGATTTCTATTACCGCTCTAATTTTTCAAAATGGTAGAAAGCCCTTGGCTTCTGCAATTTCACATGTGATACTTGTCATTGATGTGCTCATTCTGGTACTAACATAAGCTGAGAGAATCAAAAAGTTTTAAACACTTTGATAAGCTGACTGTTTGAATCAACAAGAAATACATGAAATTTTAAAAAGTAGATGGATTCTAACTTTCTATTATCCATACTCCTTGCATTCACCTCATCCCTGGTTCAACACTGTAACACACCTGCCCAAGTGGGAGAGCACCCCCCTGTGTCTCACTCAGTTTCAAACACCATCTGCTTCAGACTCAAACCTAACTCAGCCACTCCAGCCATTACTGGGGAAAAAAAAATTAAAAACAAACACACAAAAAGAAAGGCACAAGTCATAAGAGGCTTTCTAGATGATCAAAAGATAGTAACTTCCAATTCTAGAATGATGCATCCATTTGTACATATTAAAGACATTTTAATTGCCACTTTTGTTTGCCTTAAAGTATTTCATTTGTGCTTAAAAATAAAATCAGAATGATAGGTAGATTTTGGAGGGACCCGTTGCTTATACGTCATAATGTTAATGTTCGTGAACAATGAACTGTGAAGGAAATGATAACATGTGACAAGAAACTGCATTGCTCTTATCATAAGGCATGCCGTTCCACAACACCTTTCTGTCTGGTTCCTTTTTATTTTAAATCTTGTGTGAATTTGTATTAACTCATCGTCTCTTTAGGGTTTTATTTTCTAAGGAAAAGCGTACATCCTTAACTGAGAAAGCAGATATGCAGTCTTGAAATCCTTTAACCTGAATTCAAACACCAGGATGTATATATCCATTTATTCGCCAAACGTTTATAAAGTGATCACTAGCTTTTAGCTGGGCAGGTTTATAGATGCTGGGTGTACCCAATCACCTAGATCATGACACATAAATTTTTAAAAATTCAGTAAAGATACTAAACTCAAAGTAGAAGTAAAAGGTAAGGTGTCGCCAGAAGAAAAGAGTGATCAATTCTTTCTGAGTACATGAAAAATTTCACAGAGGATGTCATACTTGTACCCAAGACTAGAGGAAAGTGGAGATAGATGTTTGTTAGATGGTGACAAGCCAAGAGGGCATCTCAGTCAGAAGAAAGAGTGTGCTCAAAGGAATAAAACAGCCAAGTGCTTTCAAGAACCAGACATTTCATTAGGACTCAAGTAAATGTGTAATGAAAATGGCCAGAAGCAGCCAGGCGCGGAGGCTCATACCTGTAATCCCAGCACTTTGGGAGACTGAGGCGGGTGAAATCACCTGAGGTCAGGAGTTCGAGACCAGCCTGACCTACACGGAAAAACCTTGTCTCTACTAAAAATATGAAATTAGCTGAGCATGGTGGCACATACCTGTAATCCCAGCTACTCCAGGGGCTGAGGCAGGAGAATCACTTGAAACTGGGAGGCGGAGGTTGCGGTGAGCTGAGACCACACCATTGCACTCCAGCCTGGGCAGCAAGAGGAAAACTCAGTCTCAAAAAAAGAAAGAAAAGAAAATGGCCAGAAGCAAGAGTGGAGAGATTGGCAGGAACCACAAGGTGGAGACCTGAGTAGCTGGGATTTTATTCCGGAGTCAGCAGGAGCCCAGGAAGATGCTGGGGAGGGGTGAACAGAGGAATAACAGCATAGCATATGTTATTTAGAATGGTTTCCTCAAGACCAATGGGAAACTAAAAGTAAAATTCATGCAATATGTTTTGGGCCTCAGGGCTGGGAGTAACAAGCACGTCCACCACCTACACACCCTCCTCTCAGACAAGCAGGATACAATCATAAATATTTCTGTTATGACATAAAAGCAATGGCGGGAGATGAGTGATGGTGATGGAAAGGAACAGAAGAGCCACCAAAGACGAGAAGGAATGGCTGGTGCTCTCGTCAGGTGTGCTGCAGCCTGTCAAACCTTTGTCTCTGGGGCCCTTGCTCTGTTTCATTACCCACTACTTACTTCTCTGAAGCATCCTACTTCCATCATAACCCAGAAGCACATTTTTAAAAAATCTTTTCATCTGTACAGAAATACCCATCTATGGGAAAGACAAGGGCTTTTTTTTTTCATTTATTTTTAAATTTTATTTTGTTTTATTTATTTTATTTTATTTTTTGAGTTGGAGTCTCGCTCTGTTGCCCAGGCTGGAGTG